GATGTATAAAACTTTACTTAGGCCACATTTGGAGCATTGTGTGCAGTTTTGGTCACCACACTGTAGGAAGGATGTGGAGGCTTTGGAGAGGGCGCAAAAGATGTTTACCAGGATGTTGTCTGGACTGGATTGTATTAGCTGTAAGAAGAGGTTGGACAAACTTGGATTATTTTTGCGAGAACATTGGAGGCTGAGGGGAGACCTGATCGAAGTATATAAAATTATAAGAGGCATGGACAGGATGGATAGTCAGAGTCTTTTTCCCAGGGTGGAACTGTCAAATACTAGGGGGCATAGGTTTAAGGTGAGAGGGGGATTGTTTAAAAGAGATGTGCGGGTCAAATATTTTTATACAGAGTGGTAGGTGCCTGTAACACGCTGCCCAGCGAGGTGGTAGGAGCAGATATGATAGCATTGTTTAAGAGGTATTTAGACAGACACATGAACAGACAGGGAATAGAGGGATATGGGCCATGTACAGGCAGATTGGATTAATTCCCATACTGGATTTTTTTTTAATAATCAATTTTGCAGTTACTGCCAAGAAACAACTGTAGTTATAAAACCTAAAATCCATCAATGAAAGACAGTCATAACTATTTTTCAAGTGTAAGTGTTGTATTCTTTGTTTTCTGAATCTAGGTACTGGTATTTATTCTCGATGTTGAATATGGATCTAGAGATACTGGGATATTTATGCTGTACAGAATGTTTGTACAACAGTTCAGTAGTGTTTCTGCATATATCACTGAAAATTTGATGATTCTTTTAAACTATAATCCTAATTACATAATTATACACTACTTTCTGCATTTTTTATCTTCTATCTGAATAGTTACCAATGTAGTAAAAACCACATATAGATGTCCAGCAGAGGGTGTAAGAGAACATTCACAAGATTTTACCTATGCCAACAGTAGAAGTACAAAGTTGGTAAATAAGATACTTATTTCAAGAAATCAAATAAACCATCAATTCATGATTTTTAAATGATTTTTTAATGATTTGAGGAATGGGTCTGATACAGATACTTTAAGCATTTAGCATGGTGAGGATTGGATAAATTTCCTAGTTTGTGACAACAGGACTTTGGTGAGAATGAGAATTTGGTGCAGTAAAGAAAACATACTGTATAAACTGCTGCACATGATGACGACTGCTGCCACCATCCTCCAAGTATAGGAAACTGCAAGGCCTGTTTGCTTCATTGTCATAGAGGAAAATCACTTCTTAGTGTAACTCGAAGAATCCCTTGTAATTAAAAAGATATGGTTCATCGAATGTTGGGAACTAGTTACAGATTTCTTTACTGTTGTAAACATTGTAACTGAGACTTTGAGAAGGATCAGACATTAGGCCTGCATTTCCTGAGCTATGTGGGAACTGTACGACACTTCATATATCAGCAATAACTATATGTGAAAAAGCGCACCCAATTGTTCAAATTAAAGCTCAAGGGTCTTGAGCCTGAGGAGCAGTTACTTCAGAACATGTGGGAGGCTAAGAATGTCCTGGAGCACCTGTTGCAGGAAGTGGCCATCCTGCATCAACAGAGATTTCAAGACTGTTGTATGTCGGCACCCACTGTGGAAGAGTTCAAAGAATCAGGCAGTACAAGAATTGATACAAGACACACACAAATCAGTGTTCAGTGAAAATGACCACTCCTCATGGTATAGAGCATATCCATGGCACCATGGAACAAATGACTGCACGGTAGTATATTAGTTAATGGCGAAGGTGTTGGGGGTCTGGCGGGGGTGAAGATTGTTGCATAGAGTCATAATAATGTGTAGAAATTCAATGGTCATAGAGGATTCAATTACAATGGGATTAGGCAGGCATTTCTGCATATACCAGGTTAAGTCTCACATAGTGTCCTGCTGTCCTGGTCCTAGGGTAAATCACACCACAAAATGGATGAAGAACATTCTGCAGAGGGAAAGAGCACAACCAGAGCCTGTGGTCCATTTTGGAACCAATGACAGAAGTAGGAAATGAATTGTGGTCCTACAACCAGAGCTTTGGCAGGTGGGGAGGAAGTTTAGGAGCAGGATTTTAAAACATAGTAAACTCTGGATTAGGACCAGTGCCTTGTCCTGGAGAATATAGCTGCAATGAGGGACAATCTAACTTAATAGTGAGTTGGGTACCAGGATGAATTATCACAGAGGAGGTATAATGTGTGCTGAGATCTTGGGAAGACAAATAGTGTTCAAATAAAAAATAGTTCAGAAATAGGAGGGAATCAGACAGGGAGAAACACAAGGCAGTTTAATGTGAGATTAGAGTGCATAAACATCGAACATGGTCAATAGGGTTGATGAGTAGCGGGCATGCGTAGTCCCATAGGACTGAATAACAACAAAACCTGGCTCGACAAACTACAGAACTGGAAACTCAATATTCAAGGCTGTCAAATATTCAGGAACTCTATTACAAAGAGAGATGGATAGTAACAGGCTTCAAGATGATGATAGACAGACTGATGAATTGACAGACTTGGAAGATAAAATTTAATAAAGACAGGTATGATGTGATCCATTTAGTAGGAAGAATGAGGGGCATACAAACTAATCGGTAAGCTTTTAAAGGGCATGAAAGAATAAGGAGACCCAGGGTTGTACATACACAAGTCAAAATGTAGGAGGAAAAGTTGACAAAGCTGCTAAATAAAATTAAACTCCAATGATCCTTGGTTTGGTAAGTAGAAGTAAGGAATACAAAAACAAGGAGTTATACTAAACCTTTACAAAATACTGATTAGCCCCCGACTGGAATATTATATCGAAATATAGGCTCAATGACTTGATTACAATGTCAATATTTTTGGGAGATGGGACAGCTGAGCTTTACTAAACTAGTACAATTTAGTTCTACAGAGAAACTGAGTTTGTTTTGCTTAAGGCAGGGAAGATTTAGGGCAAATTTGATTAAATTTTTGCAAAAGCATGAACAGTTGTGATAGAGTAAGGGAGAAACCATTTAATGTGGCAGAAAAGTCAGTAACCAGAGTAAACCGATTTAAGAGGATTGGCGAAAGCACCAGATGTGACACTTGGAAGCAATAAGTTTACATGGTTAATTTTTGGCCTGAATCTTCCAATCAAGGTCAGAATTCTTATCATTTTTCCACAATTTTTCAAGCCAGACTTCCAATCAATTACAATACCAGCAGGCCATGAAGGAATGGAGATCCAGGTTCTACATACACAACTATATGAAAGTAGCAGAAGAAGTTGAGAAAGCCACTTAAAAAATAAAATAAAACCCAAAGACCCTTGGTTTGCTAAGATGAAGCTTGGAATACAAGCATTGGAATAGATTATCACTGAAACTATCCCCCTTTTTATGACAACTTCAGATGGGTTACTGGCACAATATGGAAATAAAAATCCTCAATCCCGAGTTAAGAAATCGAGGCATTAGAAGGTTTTGACTTGCTTACATTAATAGTGAACCAGGAACACTGTATCCCAGTAGGTACAACATAGATGCAACATCCCAAAGCTATTTAATAGTTACTAGGAGAAGGTAATATGTAAGGTAAGTGGGTGAGGGATAAGGTGCCAGGTGGGTAGGTGAAGCAGACACAGGTATTGGGAAATTTTGGGTTTCAATGTGAAGGGGTGGGAAAGGAAATTGTTGTCTGTGGCAGGGTGAGATTCAGTTAACTGTCAATCTGCTATCCATGGTGGAGTGGGCAGAATGAGAGGTTGGGGAGAGGAGGAGGGTTACCAATTTTATAATTAGTCAGGAGTTACAGCAGATTTTACTCTCCCCAACTTTTCTTAGTTAACTACTAACATAAGTGAATCATAACCTTGTAAAAGTCTCAATCTCGTAACTCAAGATTAGGGACTTTTACCAGATTGTGCCAGGAATCCAGTGGAAGTTTTAACTTCCCAGGCAATTATTGCACAGTCAGCACATTAAACTTCAGAGAGGCCCTGACGTGGGCCTTCAGAAGACCAGAACATCTGAACCATAATTATTTGGAATACACTTCCTGAAAAGGTGATGGAAGCTGGTTCAATCATAACTTAAATAGTTGAATTGGAAAGTTCAGCAGTTATGAGGTAAGAAGTGGAACAAGTATGATGGGTTCAATGGTCTCCTTGCATGCTGCATTGTTGTAGACATAAAATGGCTTTCCTTTCACAATGAAGATCTTCACACAAACGAGCCATGCTTACATTCAGTTTCAGTTATTGGTTGAAAACTTGGTCTCAAAATTCATTCAGTTATGACCTGTACTGTGTTGGAAATAAAGTTATTATTACTAGTAGATTCATTTTTATAGTAACTTAAAATTCCAGACAAGTCCACTAATTTTACCAAGTTTACTCAGAGGTGTCAAAAATAAAAATGGAAGAAAGAAAATAGTTTGATTTGATTGGCAAACAGTGCCATAATCTTATAATTTTATTTTGTTTCTGAAATTCAGCAAATTGATAAAACGGTAATAAAAGTGAAACAATTAACCCATGATCACTAAAACCATTAAACTCCCAGTTTAGACCTTTTTATATAAAAAAAGTCTAGAACAATCATTGAAGCTTTTTTTTAAAGAGCCTTCCCCTTACAAAAAAAAATTGATGCTGGCAATCCAATGTTAAAGTAACCAGTTGATAATTCGAAGATATTAATGATAAATGCAGATAACAAAGCACTTGCCTCATCTGTAAAGGCTAAGGAGATTATGACCAAAATCTGCTAGTACAAAACAAGCTAAAAATGTTTCACATAGCAGGGGTGCTGGTGTCTTAGTAAATTTGCAGAAGTGCATGAACGGCGTTACAGTTTAGGGACCCAACAGCTGGTGGTGAAGCAAAAGTGTCTCATGGAAGATCTATACTGTTGATCCAAATTTAAAGAGGAATTATTTTTTAAATGTATTTGTTGGTAAATGCACAGGACAAGTAAAACGTCTCTTAAAGGGGCGGAGTAAACACTCTAAAAATCAATGTTTTTTGCCTTCACCCGATTCCAAAGCTGCACAATATTGGGAGCAGCTGTACTGTTCCAACAGAACGCTGTGGTGCTGGACTGGGTAATGAGAGAAGTTGACGCTGCCTTACTGGGTTTTCACAGGCGGAGTCAGCGACACTATTTGTAAATCGTAGATTACGCAAACAGCTGATCAAAATAAATCTGGAGATGATTTCGTTGTTTTGAAGGTCGAGCTTGGTTTGCAGTCGTTTTAGATTAGATTTCCTCTGTTCCGTCAACAGGACAGTTTGAAAGGTAACTTACATTTTGATAGCCTTCTTGACAAGCTTGTTTTTGCTGGGAAATACCATTTTAACGTGAATTTAGAGTGTGGGTGATAGCTTTCCACCTGTAATCATTACATTTATTTCCCCTGCAAATAATCCCAAGATGTTTTGCTATTTATTTGTAACGAGGAGCTGTTCTGTTTGGGAATATAATTTTAGATGATGTTTACTTTAAAACGTCTTTATTGTTTCCTGTTTTGAGCATGTTCAGACATACCTTTAGTGTCTAAGAACATCACATAGCGTTTTGAGATGTTACGATCGATATTTCAAGTTATGTTTTCAAAGTTAAAGGTCAAAATGCGTGAAATCTTCCCAGTTGATGGCTCTGTTCTGTTCTGTGAAATCGAATCCACTACCAGTGAGATTTCTTTGGCAGCTTGATAGAAGTCAGCCAACGTCTCTCCTTTATTGTTTTTATTATATATTTCAAAAATAACCTGCGATTTCACCATTCCAAGACTGTCGCATGTTTTAATTATTGCAAAAACTAGTTTAATGCATTAAATAAAAACCGCAGGAACTGCGGATGCTGTAAATCAGGGACAAAAATAGAAGTTGCTGGAACAGCTTAGCAGGTCTGGCAGCATCTGTGAAGAAAAAAATCAGAGTTAACATTTCGGGTCCGGTTCTGAGGAAGAGTCACCGGATCCGTAACGTTAACTCTGAATTTTTCTTCCTAAATGCTGCCAGACTTGTTGAGCTTTTCCAGCAATTCCTGTTTTTGTTCTTGTTTTAATACATTAAAACCTGTTTATATTCTGCAACAGTCATCGACGTTGTTAAATGAAGTTTTAGTTTATTAAGTTGAATCAAAAATGTTTGCATGTCCTAGAACGTTTCTTTCTAAACAGTGTTGTAAAAGGAATCTCTCCGTCTAATGAGTTTATCCAATTGGAGGCTCTCTCGCAGCCAATCACATTTTACCCGTTTATCCATTCAGAACGCAGAGACTGCTGACTTCTCAACCAATCAGGTTTAGCAGTAAGTGTTTACGTACAATGCTTATTCTCGATTGGACACATGCAAGTCCAAGCTGGGCTTTAATTCACACTAAAATCTATTTCCATTATCTTGCATTCTGTATAAAACCCAACAATATTTTTCATAATTATGAATTATGTAGTTGCCTCTTTAAAGCTGCTGGTTGAAATGTTTTGTTTCATTTCTTGTTTTAGGTCACCAAAACTAGCCCTTTTGGGTAATCCTCTATTTTCTGCATCACCGTCTTAGGTGTAGTAAGTTAAAATTGATACAAAGTGATTTAAGTTAAAAGAAATAGCATTCAATAAGAATTATTATATATTCCACACTTCGATTCTAATTTGCACAGTGCAAACTTGGTAGGAAAATGTTTTATACAACTGTAGAAATAGTTGGCTTGACTCAGAATGCCAGTCTATGTACATGTATCAAGTCAGTAATTACAAACAATCCATGCATGGGATGTCTGTTTTCTTTGGACTCCCTTGGACTTGGAACTCTATTAAGAAGAAAGGCTTGACCACTCAAGTGATAGAAATTGTACAATATCAATATTCTTGTATGTCCTTTCATATTGAAGCTGTAACTGATGTGACGACTAGCACACTTTGTGATTGTGAGTACCTAGAACTATAGATTGTTTTAAATATTGCTTAACATTGTTTATTTCTGTAGTTATATTACTGTGTTTTTTTTTTAAAGTTACAATTTTCTCACTTATCAGGCTAGTACCCGACTTGTAGATCTTCCAGGAATGTTCAAATCCACCTTACAGACATATCCTCTTGTTAGTTTAAAGTAGTGAATTAAAACTTAAAGAGTTAGTCTAATAATGGTTCAGTGGATAAATGCGCTATATGGTCTAATCTTAACCAGGGCAATATTATAATTTTACAATTGGGTTTATGTTTGTGGAAAGGAAGAATCAGCCATGATTCCCCTTTCTGAACATTATCCCCTGACTGTTTTTGAAAAGTTGTACATGATTGCTGGATTGGGTTTAACTGTAATACTCACTTTTCATGATTGTGAAAATGATGGTGTTCTTTGCACCTGCTGCCCTTGTCCTTCTGGGTGATCAGAGCTGCAGGTTACTGAGGGGCTGTAGAAGAAGCCTTGCCAAGTTGCTGCAGTACTCTTTGTAGATGAAATATGCTGCAGCCACATTTCACCCATGATAGAGAACATTGACATGAAGCCTGGTGGATGAAGCATTGGCCAACTGGACTGCTTTTGTCCTGTGAATGAGCTTCTGTGTGTTCTTGCAGCTGGACCTGGTCAGCCAAATTAGCAATATTCCATCACACTCCTGACTAGTGACTTGTAATGATGGGGAAACTCTGGAGGAGGTGAGCTGCTCCCTGCAAAATACCTAGCCTCTAACTTGCTCAAATAGCTACAATATCTACCTGACTTGCCCAGTTGATTTCCTGGCAAATATTCTTCCCCAGGATGTTAAGGGACTTAGCAATAGAAATGACATTAAATATCAATGGGATATTGTTAGGCACTGATTTTATTTTTAAAGCTGTTCAGGACAGTTCGTTGTACATATTCATTTCCTTAACTTACTTCTTTCTGCCCTTTAGATGAAGACATGATTCTAGCTCCAGCAATGGTGAACATTCTGTACAACTGGTAAATCATTAGAATTCACTGGGCCATATTTAATGCTGTTAATTGATTGATGTAGATATAGTGTTCCGACACTGCACACTAGTAAGTGGGTGAGGCCCAAATGAAGTAGGTGGCGAGCATTAGGTATTCCCTGGCATTTAGGACTCTAGCAGCAGAAATCCCATCCTCTGATAACTGCTGGCCAATCAGAGGTTGGTATCTCTCCACTGCTTGTCAGCACCACTAGGAATTGTGGCTCACATGGCGAATCTCATTCACAGGATGTGGGCGTCACTGGTCTGGCCAGCATTTATTGTCCATCCCTAATTGCCCAGAGGGCAGTTCAGAGTCAACCACATTGCTGTGGGTCTGGAGTCACATGTAGGCCAGACCAGGTGAGGATGGCAGTTTCCTTCGCTAAAGGACGTTGGTGGACGAGGTTTTTCCCCAACAATTGGCAATGGATTCATGGTCATCATTAGACTCTTAATTTCAGATTTTTATTGCATTCAAATTCCATCATCTGCTGGGTCCCCAGAACATTAGCTGGGTCTCTTGATTAACAGTCCAGCGATAATACCACCAGGTCATCGCCTCCCTGTGCCTTGTGAAAGGGGGATCTTTCCAAGGAGGTCACTGACAGTGTTTACTGGGTGACCTTCAGGAACCATAGGAAAGTGATGCAAATTTGAGAGAGTCCTTGAGCTACCATTAAATCCTCATGATCTCTGTGATAATGATCTTCAAATGGCTCATTATTAAGACTCAGTCAGTCAGAGAGTGGGTTCCTGGTGTCAGCCTTTCCCCATTGCTTACACAATGGAGGCCCATTCTCCTGACAATGGGAATGGGATGCATGACCTCCATGATTATGCGGGCCTGACAAACACCTATCCTACTGCAGTGGGCCCCAGTACATCCTTGTCTGATGTGGCCCCACTTATGCAACATTGACTTGGAATCCCTCGCTACAAGGTGACGTCTGCACAAAGGCATTTGTAACTTACTGGCACAAACAAAAAGCATAACAAATTATAATCATCTGCATAAGTTAACAGAACCTCTGTATACTCAAAGCCACCCAAAACTTGACTGCCCATGTCCTAAATGACAACAAGTCCCAATAATCATTGTGAGATAGTAAGAACTGCAGATGCTGGAGTCAGAGATAACACAGTGTGGAGCGGGAGGAACACAGCAGGCCAGGCCTCTGATGCTGCCTGGCTTGCTGTGTTCCTCCAGCTTCACACTGTGTTATCCTAATCATAATTATGCTCACTGACCTATAATTGCTCCCTGTTAAACAATACCTAACATTTTTAAAAAAAAATTCTCATGTTTGATGTCAAAAGAGGTCATGACCTTGTTTCTTGCAACCTGTAATCCCTTCCAGGTCCATAACTCTCCAAGATGTCTGTGACCTTCTAATTTTGGCCTCTTGAATATTTCTGTGATTTTTGTTTTATTTAGAAAAGGTTCACCAGTAGTTTCCGTGTCTTTAGTTGCATAACACTTAAGTTCTGGAATTCCTTTCCTAAGCTCTCAATCTTTTTTTTTCCTTTTTAAGATGCTGGTGTTGTTTTCCCAGTTGAAGTATTGTTAGTCAGCCATATGCTGTGTACTAGTATTTTAAGGTCAGGGCCTGGACTCAACTAAGATAGCAGCAAGACTTACCAGAACAGATTTAATGCATTTTATTTCGATATTTTTACATTGCCCAGAGTCTGTTTCCTGTTTACTTTTATTCCCCAAAAGTGAAATTGGTCGATGAGAGAAGCCCAATGGTCTGGCTCCATCAAACAGTGGCAATACTTCTAAGTTGGGACGAAATTGGAAAACTGTATTTGGAAAACTTATTTTAAGAAGACTTGATGTGTGCAGCAACACATAGCAGGCTGGTTGAAATGAATGTTGTTTGTGGTGTAAGGAATCATCAAATTCAAGCAAAAGCCAAGAATATTGTGAGATGCATGTTCACAATCAGCTAAACACATCTAAGGAAATTATGACACGGTTGGACTTTTTAAACTCTCTGTCTGTCTGTGTGTGTGTCTCTCTCTCTCAATTCCATCATCCTCTCCATATTGTTTGCTTTCTATAGATGACTTTGCATTAAATTGAATATTTTACCTTATATTTCCTGGTTTAGTCCTACACATCTCCATTGAGAATTGAGTCTGGTTGAAAAGAGAGGTTACTGCTTTCCCTGACCACAGACAATACAGATGCCCAATGGAAGATGCACACTGGAAGTTAATTCCAGAAGTTTCAAACTGCAACTCAAAAGTGAAAACTATGGGCAGCTGTAAGCATGATGAACAGCAAGAACCATTCCCTTGCCATTGAATGAAATTCAGGCCATCACTTTCATACTTAAATCTGCATGTGAGGACAGCATTAGCATACTGCGATCAGAACTGTGCAGCCATTTTTTTAAAAAATGGGCAGTGAAATTGTACCCACATCGACACAAAACATATCTCTGCCAATGTATTTGTGAACTCCTCCCCGCCCCCAAATTTCTTCACAGAGCATTCATGTAGTACTCATATACACCATTGGAAAGATTTCATTCATGTATTGATGGCATTAGATACACATCCATCTGCTAATTGTATACTCTTTTTATTTATTTTCATGATGAGGGTGAATCCGGAAAGGCCACAGTTATTGCCATTTCTGTTTATCCTAAGGAGATGATGATTGGTCTTTTCTTTGAATGATTGTAGCCTTTATGGTGATAATATTTCCAACATTGTTTTAGCGAGGGCAAATTGCACTGCACTCCTCCTTTTCTAGTGTCTTGTAAACCCTCACTTTTCCTTACTCTACCATTTAACCATTCCACTAAAACCACAATTTCTTCTTAAACTTACCACCTCTCTTTCCTCCTTAACAAACTCCTTTAAAGTTTACATCTCTGATCAGGTCCTACTACTTCTGTACATGTGTCAAAATTTGTTAATGCTATCATGAAGCCTCTTGGAAGGTAATATTACGGAAAAGGCACTACTATAAATGCAAAGTAGGATATTGACCCAATATTTCTAATGATGACTTTCACTTAAAGCTGCTGCTGTGCAGTTGGCTTGGAGATTTAAACACACATCATTCATAATGTTCTGGTATTAAAAGGCTGCAATATTTCATTTATCAGTCACGATTGTGAATTGATTGCACGGTCCAATGCTCAATCCTAATTTATGACTTACAGTATATTTCTTTTCTAAAGTGCAAGTTGTACTTTTTATGACATAGGAATTGAGGGAACAACACTCAATATTCAAGCCCTGTTGGAAGTATATAGCTCAGATTAAGCCTTACGCATGACAAACATGCTTGGAAAACTCACCCATTTCTTCCTCGGTGAGACGGATGAAGAAGTCAATGAAGGGATGAGTGGAATGAACAACATTCTGTATGAGCATGAGGAAGATGATTGGATTATCGTGAACATCCAAGGTAAGATTTGAATATTCAGATAATACCTCCACATCTAGGGACATGAAAAATTTATAACATTTATAGATCAGATCTTGTGCATTATTTATTTGACTAGTCATAAATATCTTAATAGTAGATACTAACAAATTTTAATACGTATTAAGTCAATGAATAATAACAAGTTCTCCCCCATAGCCTACTACCCCATGTCCATGTCCTTTATGTTTCTAATTAGTATAAAATAACTTCAGTGGTGATGTTTTAGTGGGAATCTTGTAGAAACCTGTAAAATTCTAACAGGACTAGACAGGTTAGATGCAGAACGATGGAGAGGGATTCCAGAACCAGCAGTCATACTGTAAGGATAGTGGTGAGCCTGTGGAATTCACTATCATAGAAAGTGGTTGAGTCTAAAACATTGTGTTTTCAATAAAGAGGTAGATATAGCTCTTGTGGCTTAAAGGATATGGGGTGAGGTCAGGCAGGATTACTATGTGGAGCTCGATGATTAGCCATGATCATGTTGAAAGTTGGAGCAGGCTTGAGGAGTTGAATGGTCTACTTCCTGCACAAAGATTTTGGGCAAGGACTATAACTGAAGTCCAATGATATGGTTTGAAATGGAGAGGGTTGTGAAAATATATATTGCTTTGAATTCAACACAAATTTGAAGATGTTAGCTCCAAGTTCAAAATCTCAGTAATGAACATGAGTACATTATTTTAATGCATTAACTTGCCTCATTCTATGCAATTTCCAATTCTCAACTTCTTACTCAAGAAACTAGAGGGTGTTGATTTTTGACATGACAGCCAGGGCAGTTACCTGGTGACAGCAGCTTGCCACTTGCTTATCTGGGTCTTCATTCCACTCTGCCTGCACGTTCCCTTCACTCTTTCCCTCTTCAACCTTTGTCCAAACAAGTTGTCAATGACAAACCACCAATAATACCTGTTCTCTGACCACTTTAGCCCTTCAGGACTTCACTTTGGAGCTCAGGACACCTACAGCTTGCTCGCTTCTGACAGGTCGCTTTACACATGCATCACACGCAACTACACACGATGCATCTATGGCTCTTGACATCATTTCTTGGTGGTCACTCACCCTGCCTTTACTTGGATGTTGCCACCCTCTGCTGCTTGCATTGTTTTTTAGTGCATAGGAAGAGGGAGGCCGCTTGTCACATCTTAGGGCACAACTGTCAAGGGGATGGACATATTGCTGTCTGGTACTGTGCTGTGCCAAAGTCATATCTACAGAAAATCCAGTTTATGTGGCAAACACGCTGCTTGTGCTTTAACCAAATGTCTATCTCTGAAAGTCAAAGGGAACCATTCCTTAGTGGGGTCGAAAAAAAACAATGATCCATCAAGTGGTACTGTCACTGTCAGTCAAGAGATTTGTCAGATTCTTGTTCAAGGGGATGACCACTGCTTGTGCTACAGGTCAAATACAACAAAACAAAGGATTACAGATAAGCTAGTCATGGTGCTGTGGAGACATTGATTCAGGGAATGGGCCAATTTTTTCATGCAAAGTGAAGGACCGAGTATGATGACAATGGATGGAAGGGCAGATAGTGGTGATACAGGAACAGGAGAGGAGGAGATGTTAGCCAGTGAGTGAGTGGGAAGTGCAGAGGGCAGGAAAGATAAGTAGTTTGAGAGAATGAGGTGCATGAGAGCTATTGAATGGATATAATATATGCAATGATGAGAGTTTTAGTGAATGGACTCAAAATGTTAACATTGTTTCTCTGTCCACAGATGATCTCAGAGTTTTTGAGTTTCTCGAGCAGTTTTTATTTTCAGTGTAATCCGTGAGCAGTGATGAAAGGAGTGTGAAGTGGCAGAGTTAGAATGGTGGCCCTGTGGGTGTGAGGTAACAGAAAGAAGATGGTGGAACTTACCTTTGCAGTTGTTTCTGCACTGCTGTACATTGTATTTCACCTGGGACACTGCATTGATATGGGCCGTTATCTTAGTCCAGCTTAAGTGTGTCTGATGGCGAGCACTGCTTTGCTGGTCAGCAGAGCACAGCACTTCCCTTCTTTCCATCACTCATCCATTGGCATCCCCAGGTTCCTGTTGGCAAAAGGATGAGCTAAACTACCTTACTGGGCCATTTTCTTGGGGATAACGGTGCAGGACCAGGTTGAGGGCCAGTTCCTGGCTTGCAACATCTGAAGTCCCATAGAGTTGGATTTAAATATGGCACCAACAATGTGAACATCGCAATGTCCCAGCTCTGGTGTGCACTTCCACCTTTCTTACAAGATGGCATCATAGGATCTGATTGCATGATTAATTTGTTGAGGAGTGGAAGATTGTATGAGGAATCTGACTCAAAAGTGCTTTGCCAAAAAAAGGAAGAATTTAGTCCAGAGGTTTCATTCACATGACCAGGCTTTCTGGAAGAGTCACCTTGGTTAATAAGACGGCTTTCATGCATCTCATCAAAAACATTATGCATTGTAGGAGTTACCCAAGGAGGCCATTAGTCCTATCTTGGGCATACGGAATTTCAGTGGTTTTCTTTTAAACCAAATCTGGCTGTAGAGGTGCATTGTCTATGGCTCCTTTGCATAGGTTTGGCTAGAATGTCTATACAATGCAAAAGTGTTACATTTTAGGACGATGATGGGTCAACATATGTCGACTTGAACCACATTTTGAGGTTAGTGGCCATTTCAAGTCCATCAAATGTCTATTTCTTTTTAAAAGAAATGAGGCTATAATTTTCAAATTTAAAAACTTTCTTCATGCCTCCTGGGTGTGGTAGTGAATGTAAACTAGCCAGTTAGAGTAACAAGATATATTAAAATGTACTAAGCAGTACTTCTCGTGATCTAATCCACAGTAGATTGCACCTAGTTATTCACACAGCACTGTATTCCCCACTCATCCTTTGTCCATCAGCAATTCTCTCCCCCACTCAAGGAATAAACGCTTGGTGGGTATTGTTTACTCCTATGATGTCAAAGTTAGGAAAAAATTATGAAGATAGACAGAAAATATCAGGATATTTAGTTTGGTAATAGACAGGTACCACAGCCAAGGTTGATTTTTTTTTATCTTCTCCAGACAAATCACTTATGATAGGGATCACTTCTTAAGTAACAGGAGGCTTGGTCTGTCTTCTGTCCCTTTTAATAGTTCCTTAAGTCCCAATGAAGTTGAATTCTAAAGTCTCATTTTTGCTTTGAAATTCCTCCTGACCGTGATCAGGCAGGCATCTTCGGCTGCTATTTCTAAATGTTGATATTTCATCTACACTCATTCATGTCATCATTATGTGTTCTGTAACTGTAGTGGTTCCTGCAGCCAGTAGAAGCTCCTTCCCTCTGCAAGCCTCTCCAGTCTTTTGCTTCCATGTTTTCAACATTTCTTTGAAATCTTTTTATCTTTTAACTACTTTTTATTCTCCTCCAAGAGTCTTTTTTTTCATCTACATGGTCATCATTTGCTTTTTTTAAATTTTTGGTCCTTAATGAAACATTTGAGAATTTGTTCTTCCAGTAGTGCAATAGGAATGCATGTGTCGCATTCTTACTGGTAGTGACTGAGATCAACTAACTTGGCAAAGATTGAGAAACTCAATCTGAAACCATATTGGTGTGTGTGACTCTAATGATTTTACCAGAAGAACCAGTGGAAGAACATAGAAGATGCTTTATTTTTGGGACTTGCATAATTGCTTTATATAAGTGTTTTATGTGATTGGTACGATAACCCATTGACCTTGCAGAAATTTGGGCTTTTGTTCTCTATTTTAGTAGGAAGCCAAGTTGGAACTAAACAATCTCTGAAGATGATGAGCAGAATCAGTGGACAATAAAGAGCACAAAGAGTCTTCCTTCCATTATTTGGATTTAACTATTGTAGCTATCTTGTTTTCTTTCAATACAGTTGAATATCCTGTGGCAAGATTGGAAGTCAGTCCTCTGGAAGACCAACTGATTGAACACCCAAGGAGTAATAACCGTGGCAGTGACGAAGCCACTGCATTGACAGAGAAGTTAGAAGGTCTCAGGTTAGTAATAGGAAATTAGAAAGCACTAAGTTAAATGTTTCGATTCAAAAATTAACCATAATCAGGTTCTAAAAAATCATCTTTCTAAAGACATTTGATTTGGCTTACAAAAGAGCTTCAAACTCTTTTACTGAAGGTATAAAATTATTAATTTACTACTTTATCTTCTTACAAGTGGATCCATCCACAACTTGCCAAATGACAGATTTTTGAAGCAAGGTGATCGGGCTCCTCTCAACTAGCCTCGCTTGAGCCTGGAAGGAATGAAAAAAGATTCAAAATGACGCTATAGTAATTCAAAATGGATCACTATATTGGTCAGGAAGGCAATTTGACACAACTTAATATTACAGAAAAAAAGTATAGCTGAGAAATGAGATACACTGGCAAAGCTTTTCATTTTACACTAACCAAGGAGATGAAGAATACCAAAATTCAAAGACAACAAAAAAATTAGACTGCATTAGAAAGGGATGCTAATACTCAGAGTTCTGATTCTGCTTGTTTGACATATTGCTATTGACAATGCAGCATGGAACTCTTGTCTCCAGGTATATATGCTGTACATCGCAATGACTGGTAGATCATATCAAACAGCATGGTGTTGGCAATAGGTTGAGTACTGTCATTGCTCAACATGCCTATGCTTACAAAATTCAAACATAATTTCTAACATTAAATGTAACTCTGCAATTTAACAGCATTTGCTGAACAACCTTGAGAGCTCAGAGAATTACATTAACAATCGATGTAAGATAATCAGATGAACCCATAATGTGGCTCACGAACTTCCTAGAAGCTATATATATATTCATATGCAGGGACCAGTCCTCTCAAGGAGAAGGAACATGTCCAAGCATTGCATCCTTCTACAATTTAGCATAAGCATTATGAACAATAGTTTCCCATTGCACGCTCAGTGGCAACACTTCAACATGTCGGAGTAGACTTGCCAATCAATCAGCATCCTTCTTATGCAGAGTACATTATTGCTCCCTTTGAACTTTGGTATTCTTGCATCTGCTCTGATCATTGCAAGGCAAAACTTTGATAGTATGTCCATTTTTTCAACAATATTTGAGTTCTGCACAATTAAAGGATGAATATATACCTGTCTCCCCACTGCAATATCAACTGTTTATTAAACAATTCCAGAATTCTGGCCTCCAGGACATTGCCCAGAAACCTATTCCATATATTGATCACTCTCTTTGCTCAATAAATAGCTGGTATGAAATCTGTATTTAACATGTTTGCTTTAAACTTGTATTAAAACAGCAATTTTAAAGGAATATGTTCACCAAGGTATTTGAATAATTGTTCAGTCGTACAGAATTTGCTGAAAACATGACAATCAAAGTTGAAGGTTTTCACCCAGAATCATAGGATCCCTACAGTATGGAAGCAGGCCATTCAGCCTATTTGAGGCCACATCGACCCTCCGAAGAGCATCACCCAGATCCATCCCCCTAACCTATCCCTGTAACCCTGCATTTCCCACGGCCAATCCACCAAGCCTGCACATTCCCCAGACACTGTGGGCAATTTACCATTGCCAATCCATCTACCTGCACATTTTTTGGACTGTGGGAGGAAACCAGAGCACCCAGAGGAAACCCACGCAGACACGGGGAGAATGTACAACCTCCAGAAAGTGGAATTGAACCCAGGTCCCTGGTGCTATGAGGCAGCAGAGTCAACCATTGTGCTCCCGTGCCAGCCTTGCACGCATCAGAGCTAAGACACAAGAAACAGGCTTGATAAAAGGTACACGATTTAACACAACTTGAGAAGTGGGCGGGGGTGGGGTGGGGGGAGGGGGGGATGGGGGCAGGATCCTGATTGACGTGACTGGATCACCAATCCCGAAGTGATGCAAAAAGAACAGTTAATTGTTGATCTTAATTCTCAGACAGGACAGGTCGATTCTGATCAGTCAAGGTTTTGCCATGGGGATGCAACAGAGATTTTCTATCCCCATGTCCCATTTTTTTTTTTATGAAGCAGGGTCCTTTGGATTTATGAATGTAGCTTCTAGCATGGGCAAATAGGGAAGGCAGTGGCCTGGTGGCATCATTCCTGGACTGTTAATCCAGAGAACCAGGATATGTTCTGGGGACCTTGGTTTGAATCCCACCCCGGCTGATGATAGAATTTGAATTCAATAAATATCTGGAATTAAGAGTCTAATGATGACAGTGAATCCATTGTCAATTGTCGGGAAAAACCCATCTGGTTCACTGGTGTCCTTTCGGGAAGGAAACTGCCATTCTTACCTGGTGTGGCCTGCATGTGACTCCAGGCCCACAGCAATGTAGTTGACTCTTAACTGCCCTCTGGGTAATTAGGGATGGGCAATAAATGCTGGCCTAGCCAGCGACGCCCTCATTCTGTGTATGCATAAAGGAAATGCATTACACATAGTGTTCAGGAATGTGTAGATTAGGTGGGTCATAGGGGGTTGGGTCTGGTGGGATGCTCTGAGGGTCAGTGTGGACTTGTTGGGCCAAAGGGCCTGTTTCCACACTAGGGATTCTATGATCTATGATTACGAGCCCGATTGATAATCCTAAACTGGTTTTTGGTGTGACTCTTAGCATAGTCTGGCTTATTCAATAAATGATTTCCAATAACAGAATGTCATCCAATGGTGGATAGACTTCTGAATAGAATGTACAGCATAGGCTTATGATTGCATAGCATCATGATATTTGATATTCATTCAGCTTTACTTAATATTGTATGCAAAAGTTTATATGACATCTTTTGTGCACAGTATTTGACTTTCTTTAGCCTCATGAATTTTTCAGCAAATAAGCATTTCATACTGACATATTATGGAGCTTTATAGGATGCATGGCATTATCATTGTTCAGACTTTGTCACTTGTTGCCATTAGTATTTATAATCTGTTATTACAAAGACATGAATAATTGTGACTAGCAGCATGATCTTGCTGCAGGCAGTTCACAAAAACTGAAAGTTAATGAAAAAAAAACTCAGCTACTGGCAATAGCCTGAAATACATTGCTCTGGGTGACAAAAGTGACATCTGTTATCTAGCGTTATTATATCTTTGACCTTGTTTTTCTGCTTTAAGCCTTATGATTGCAAATGTCAGAAACCATACTGTTTCCTATCATTCGCCCCAAGCATGTGTTTTAAGAAACCATCAGTATAAAAACTTATTTTTTCTGTAATGTTAATTGAGAATGCCTAAATTTTGTTCCTGGAATTTAATAACTATTGATCACTCTCCACCATTTACACCATTGCTAAAATGTGAGGAAAGATGAGTGAAAGATTGTGTCTTGGTCTGCCCATCTCAAATAAAATTATCCTCATATTTAAAAATGGTTGACTGTTAACTAAAATACAAATTATGCCATGAGGTCCTGACCCTTCAAGTTCGAACTCTGCAAGCCTGGTTCAAAGAGTAAGTACATGAATTGTTATAGTCAGGAAAGTTGAAGAGTAACTTTTTTTTTCAATTGAATGACCATGTTGGTAAGGTAGAGGGCAACAGCTTCAATGAAACCCCAGCAAGTAGTCAGTTTTGTCTGATGATTAGAGGGAAGAAGGCTAACAGAGGGGAAAGAAAAGAAAACCAGAAATTGGAGTTTCCATCTGGAGAAGTTGTGGCTAAGTTTTTTTGGTTTTCCGGCTCACAACCCCATGCATTTCCATATTGCACCTTCTGGCTTAATATTATGGGAAGTGTCCAATTAGTAGGCTGTCTTCACAGTTGTAAAACCAAGACCCTCAGCAGTCCAGTTGCAGCTCCACATTCAACGTTGCTGACTACACGCCAACTCAACAGCTTATCATCAACCTGAGAGAAATTGTCAGATCTGAATTCTTATGAACCTGAAGAACAGCCAGGCACCTGTAACCAGGCACAATAAAAAGAAACATCAAAATTGGAGATGAGATACCAGCAGACCTACTGAAACATAACAGGAACACCATTAAACCAGAGCTCAGGGACCTGAGATCTGCATTGCGGAAGCCATCCTAGATGACTGGAATTGAGGAATAATCGTCAAGCTACCAAACAGTGGGAACGTCAGCAATTGCAGCAAATGAAAGGGGACAACATTGCTTCCAATACCTGGCAAAATCTTCAGCACACAGCACTCCTCATTAGATTGAAAATGAATAGTACTTTCACAAAGAACAGGCTGGTTTCAGAGGTAGCAGGGTATGCTGAGGATATCCTTTTATGCTCAAATCCAAAATTATCGGAAGCCACATGTTGCCGACTTCATGGATTGTTAAGGAGGCTATTGATAGCACTATCAGCAGTCACTTTGTTATAGTACAAGATAGTACAGCATCCCAGAGCAATATATTAATATCATCAAAGTTGTACGTTGCAAATCCAGCTGGTGTGTCAAGACCAGCAATGTGCATCATGGGCTCCTTCAACGTCACCACTGGAATATAGCAAGGCCGCATACTTACCCCATTCATTTTCTGTTAGTTGCTGATTTCCTCATGAGGAAAGTGACCATGATGGATTCAGACTTTGGCATCCCATGACAGCCACACGGATTGACAGACGTGGATTTAGAAGATGACATTGTCTTGCTGGCCTAAGATCCTTATGCTCTAAGAAGTGTCCACAAGTCACAGGGGAGGCATTAGCCTCATGGTATTTTTGTTAGATTATCAGACCCATGTAATATTCTGGGGACCCGGTTTCAAATCTCACCATGGCAGATGGTGAAGTTTGAATTCCAAAAAGAAAATCTGAATTGAGAGTCTAATGATGATCATGAAATCCTTGTTGATTGTTGGGAAAAGACCCATCTGCTCTTCTGAAGGTTGCATTATTGGAGTTTGCATATTTTGGCCCTGCACCACATACTTGCATCTCCTGTAAGGGGACAAGCTGCAGACACTGTGGCAGTCTTGTTCACTTCTGGAGGATTGTCATCATGCTATGACAATGTTGATAACTTGGTCCACCAATTCCCTTTAATAGGCAATTCTCTGGTTTCCTGTATGTGTATCCAGCCTGCTTTTGGGAAAAGTAACTGAAAATGGAACTATTTTATTTTTGTTAGCCTATTGCTTTATTTAAAACCTGAAGTTTTTCCAGCCAGTTTCCCTCAAAATGGCTGAGAAAATTCCATACCTTTCTTCCCCTTTTAGATAAATTTCCATTATTGTTAATATTGTTTAACTTAACAATCATTCAAACTTATAAATTAGGAACAGGAGAAAGCCACTTAGCCCCTTGAGCTGACTTCATCATTCAATAAAATCATGGCTGATCTGATTACTTCGCTTTGCCACCTATGCCTAATAACCTTTCACACCCTGGCTTATCACACATCTATATACTTCAGCCTTTAAAAATATTCAAAAACTCTGCTTCTTCTACCTTCTTGAGGACAAGAATTTCAAAAATGACATTGCACTGAGGAAGAATTTTCTCCTCATTCCTGTCTTAAATCAGCAACTCCTTGTTTTTAAATGGTGATCTCAAGTTGTAGAATTTTCCACAAGAGGAAACGTCCTTTAAACATGCAACCTTAAAACATCCATTAGCCCTGAGGATCTTGTGTTTTAATCAAGTATTTCTTTTTTTTTCAAAAGATCTATAACTAGCACTGCATATATAATGGTAAAAGTAATTATCAGTCTCCATTTGAAGCTAATGTGCCTTGCATGCTTTTTATACACTGCTGAACTGGTAACCAGGAGCTTGCCTTCAAATTGAAGACATATATATAAGTTGGGTCACCTGTGTATGATATTTTTAGGAACTGCCCACTACTGTTAATAAGGAAACAGAGTTCCGGGCCACTGTTACAAGGAGAATGTGTTGACCTTCATAGACCCAATTTTACAGGCCAGTGTAGGTTGGGATTTCTTTTGGCAAAATGGATTTAAAAAAATAAACTTCATAATGCAGCTGGGAAGTTGGAAACAAAAACAGAACTTGCTGGTAAAGCTTAGCAGGTCTGACAGCATCTGTAAAGAGAAATCAGAGTTAACGTTTTGGGTCCGGTGACCCTTCCTCAGAACCGATGGTAGCTAGGAAAATCTTGGTTTATATGCAGAAGTTAGGTGGATGGAGGGCGTAAGGAGTAGACAATAGGTGGGGATAGAGCCCAAAGAGAGAGAAGAACAGTTGGACAGACCAACAGGTGGATAATGATCTGGCTGGGAGACTGAATAACTACTAATGGGAACTGTTAGTGGCTAACAATGGGTTGTGTGTAATAGCAGACTGTGATAGTCAGGCCTGGTGTGGGGTGGGGACAGGGTGGCTAGGGGCTAGGACGTGGGAGAGCTCAAGCCCTAAAGTTATTGAACTTGATATTGAGTCCAGAGGGCTGCAGGGTCCCCAAGTAGAAAATGAGGTGTTGTTCTTCCAGCTTATACTGATCTTCACTGGAGCACTGCAGCAAGCCAGAGACAGAGATCCAGGGAACTGGGAGATGTGTTAAAGTGGCAGGTAGCTCGAAGCTCAGGGTCGTTTTTGCGGGCAGAATGTAGATGTCCTGCGAAGCGGTCACCCAGTCTACACTTCATTTCCCCAATGTAGAGGAGTCCACATTGTTAGCAGCGGATGCAGTAGACTAGATTGTGGGAAGTGCAGGTGAAGTGCTGCTTCACCTGGAAGGTATGTTTGGACCCTTGGACACTGAGGAGGGAGGAGGTAAATGGGCAGGTGTTGCACCTTCAGCGGTTGCAGGGGAAGGTTCCGTGGGGCTGTGGGAGTTGTTGTGAGCAAGGGAAGAGTGGACCAGGGTGTCCCAGAAGGATTTGTCCCTGCAGAAGGCGAACAAGGGAGGGGAGAGGAATATGTGTCCGTTGGTGGGATCTCACGGGAGGTGGCAGAAATGGTGGCTAATGATCCTCTGGATGTGGATGCTGGTGGGATGGTAGGTAAAGACAAGGGGGACCCTATTACTGTTGCGGGAGGGAAGAGAGGGGGTGAGGGCCGAAATGCGGATGATGGGCCGGACCTGGTTGAGGGTCCTGTCAACAATGGTGCTGGGGAGTCCTTGGTCGAAGAAGAAGGTGGACATTTTGGAGGTTCCCTTGTTGAAGTTGGCATCATCGGAACATATGTGGTGGAGATAGAGGAATTGGGAGAATAGAATAGAGTTTTTACAGGAAGAAGGATGTGAGGATGTGTAGTCCAGGTAACTGTGAGAGTAGGTGGGTTTATTGTGGCTAGCCTAACCCTGGAAATGGAAACCGAGATGTCAAGGAAGAGAAAGAAGGAGTCAGAGATGGATCAGATGAACGTGTGAGTGGGATGGAACTTGGAAGCAAAATCGATGGGAAGTTTGGTCAGTAATAAATAAATACTACTCCACTAACATTAGACATAAAAGACATAATTCAAATTGCAGATAAATATGATGTGTTGTAACCATGATGGGAGAAATGCACTGATAGTTATGCCCCACTACTTCATACATCATACATTGAACAGAAATGTTTCAATTTAATCACCAACATGGCCAATTGTCTCCCTTTCAGACTGCTATTCAGAATTAAAGAACCTCTCAACAAACTTCTTCAAAAATCTCAAAATATATTTATCATTACACAAAACTTGTCAACTGGTTTTGCTACTTTTTAAAAGAATGTGTAAGTTACAATTTAAAATTAGGACTATAGCTCCTTTACATTCCAAATACACACAGGCACGCAACAACAATGGAGAAAAGAAACACCCTTATTGACCAATGGTTTGTAAAGCAAAAGAATAGTTGATGAATTCTCATGGCCCACTAACTTTGTATTGGACGAAATCAATTTTCTGACAGCCATGTAACGAAAGAAGATCTTTTAAACAAAATTTAGGTTAACTGAAAATCAAACTGGATCTCAGGTTTTGGATATTGGTCACACTGCATTTGCAAGGTAGTCCAAATACAATGGTGCTGGCATTATTTGGTTCCTAAATTTCAACCTTACTGCTCCTTCCTGCCGCTTCTCTTTTTGTTCTTTTGGGCTTCTCAAGTGCTTGAAGCAGAAGTCAAATCTAGCTGCTAGGCAACGATCAGCTTAGAGGACCCCTTGTCTCTTTCAAAGACAATTATTCAGCAATTGGAAGCAGTAAGATCTTTTTTTATTTCAGAAAGTATCCGATGTTTGATATTTCCTTCCTTTTTTCACATAGTCCATGTATGCATTCCCTAACATGTTTGTCAGGTGGAAAGTTTATAGGGGGTTAAAAGAAAAAGAAAGTCAGTGCAAAGCTGGATAGATTTATGCAAGATCACTTCCAAGGAACAGTCATATTGGACGTGAAGCATTAATTCTGCTGGTCTCTCCACAAATTCTGCCAGACCTACTGAACTTCTTCAGAATTTTCTGTTTTTGTATTGAGTTTCCAGTATCTGCAGTAATTTACTTCCAATGATATTTTTGTTCTTGTTTTGCCAAGGACAATACAATGCCATGATAGGTGCAAAGCCTCGGGGTCATTGAATGGTAGGGAGCCGAATAACCCACTGCTGTTATGAACATCAAAATAATTGGAACAGCTTTTAAATTGCCCCTTTGAAAGAGCACCATTGAGAACATTAAAAAAATGGACAGTGTGAGTACATCGAAAGGAATTAAAACATTTAAGATAACTTTCTCATGAAATGTGAAATACCCTCAATTTCACGTTTTTTTTTCCACATGATATTTGCATTGTAAGCAAACAGTGTGTCTGGCTGGAGAAGGTTCTCTGAAAGAGAAAACAAATGCAATCTTTAAATTTATTCAAATATTTTATCATATAATACATTGTCTACTACATTATAAACTGTTTCCTTCTGTCATTTGAAAGTCCTGAGCTGCTTCCATTCCATCATTAACTTTACATAAATTCTGCAAACTTTATATGGCTCAATTGTACTAAGATCAAACTAGCTTTAGGAGTCCAAGTAACTCACCTATATGCTGCTCTTCTAGGGGTGTTAAAATAGGTTCACTCTAACTTGTCTCATAATTGTCAGAATTTATACTCTGAACCCTGTTCAGTTAAATGTCTCTCCACTTTCTTTAGGGCTGTTCCAGTTGCTCATTATATCCCTCGAAGAATGTCCATTTTGTTTAGAGATTGTGGTATGGTTCACACCAATCAGATGCGCATCGTGCAGCGTGCCAAATCATATGCTGAACGAAGAAAGCTAAGCCGGAATCAACTTTTGAGGCAAAATCGAGCAAGGAAACAACATTCTACAAAAGAGAACAGTGCCAGATATTTCAAACAACCTCGACAACGCATTTCCAGATATTCATGGCAGTAAGGACCCTTTCTGCATGGTTTTGATTGGAAATTTTAAACGGTATCATTTCTGCAGGGGATCCCACACTTCAGCTTTAGGACATCTGGAGAATCCTTACAGGAGTTTTACTCCAAAGTGTTTATGCCTCATGTGTTGTGTGCTTGTTTTCCTGTGCCCCTCCCCCACCCGCAAATGCCCTTTAGAATAGTTGCTTTCTGGAGATAGATGTAATATTTTGATGGTTCTCTGTCTCTGTGAAATTGCAAAGAGAATTCTGAGGCTTTCACTCCTGAGGAGGGTATGCAATTTCCAGAAATTGCCCAGGTGCCTGCACCAGCCTTTAGCAAAATGTGCCCATAATGGCTCGATTTTCATTCTTCGGTGGTGGGGGTGAGAAGAGTGGTGTTATGGGTGCAGGCTGGTGTCAGGCCTATTGGATGAAGATCAGAGGTAGCCATGGGGTCTGCTGAGTGCTAAAGCAGGTCTGTCTGAGTTCTCTGGAACTTTGTGCCAGCTGTTTTGTTAAATATTAGACCCTTGCAAGCCCTTTCCACTCACAGTCTGACCCACTTTCCATTCCCCATCACATGCCTCCCATCCACCTCCCTTTGGCCTCCATGCCAACTGTCAAAGTATTCTCTTTTGGGCAGACCTCAGGACCTATGCTGAAATGAGGTAAAGTTCTAAATAATTATTACAGACATCACTATTTTTACAACAATCATGAATTCATTCAGTATACCAAAATTCTCTCTGTAACCCGACGCCACACACAGCTAATCGTTTCATGACTATTTTTGAGCAGTGAATTTACAGCCCCTCCACTGTGATGTTGTGGAATGCACCACGTATGTGTTAATGCTATAATGATAGCACTTAGGGTTTTGTCAAAAAACAGCTATTGAAATTGCTGGCATGGATTTGTTTCATCCTTCAGACATAGGCAGGCTTTTATTTCCCAATTTATAAAGAACAGATTAGTAATGGTTCCACAGGTCTTATGCACCCTTCAAGAGCATTTTTGTCTACTCTAAATACTCAAAACATACTGCAGGATAAGGTCCTTGCTTCTTTGGTCTATAAATGTCTCTGCTTCATTTGAGTTTTTCTCATGTGATCTATGCTAGTCCCCTTTCCCCAGTTGGTAAAATTAGATCTATTGAAAATCAGGGTAGGACTTCTGGATCCAGGTCACTCTACCCATTTTTAATGATCCCCACACTGTCCATGACTCTGTAGAATCTAATGACTAATGCACAGGGTGGTCCTGAATGAGCAAACAGGAGAAAGCTTCCCTGCATTTTGTTCTTCAGGTTGCATAGTTTTATGTGATTAGACTCTAGCAGTACTTCTGGTGACTGAGATATTGCCAAGTCTTGTTTTGGGAAGTCTATTACATTTTGTGGAGAGAAAAATAAATGTTTCAATTATGATTTTGTAATAACTGGATTTTTTAATTAAAGCAGAGTATTTCTGCATGTGTTTTAAACCTGACAGTATTCATTTAAAGTCACATTGTCCTATAACTCACTTTCATTATAACAATGACACCAGGAAAATAACTCTGGCACTAACAAAAATATAGAACAGATATTTTAACCTCATGTTGACAGTTGTTTGATTGTTTCCTGATAATGGGACTCATGCTAGTTGGTTTGAAAGGAGAATGATTGCATAATTTCTGATGTCAATCCTTCCTGACAAAGAACTTGATATATTCTACTTGGTACACTTGTCTTTTAGCAGGTAATCACCATTTATTCCTTTTTTTATCTTAAAATGCAATCAATAGTGTAGGTCCGATGCCTATAACAGTAAATCTACATGATTATTGTTAATATAGCTATGACCACTCATCCCAAACAGCCAACAACCTCTGTGCCACATTAATTCCACATTAGATTTTCTAGCTGAGCGATTTGGCTTCAAAGGCTAAATGATAATAGTTTTTCTATTAAATGGTTACAAATTGTTGTAGATAGAAAATATTGTGAAATGTGCAACTGATATTGTGATAGCACTTTATGAACTCTAATAAGATGAGAACCAGGACAAAGCTTAAGGATTCTATTGATTATGCATTTAAAATAATTTGCTGTATTCACATTCATACAAAGAACCCTCAACCTATCTTGTTAAATTGATTTATACAAAGTCCCCTTTATGATTTTAGTGCAGAATATGTTGTGCCATTTCTCAAGTTTGTTTTGTGTGAAATCTGTCAGTGATCTAAGTACTGTAAAAGAACTGATGAATTGTTAATAGTATTCATACCTGGTAGTTCTGATGAGATTTCCTCCTGAAATATTAACTCGTTCACTCTCCAAGAGATGCTGTATGTTTCCAGTACTTTGTCTTTTATTTGGCTTTAAAAGGTAGTCAGTTAGCAGTATCAAAATGAGATTTCTTCTGGTTACTATATATTAGTAACTTTGCAATAGTGGGAACGTTTTCTATGTCTGCAATTTCCGGCAAAATTCTAAAAGCATTCTTGTGGAATGTGCATGTATGACCAAAAGAAATCTTCTTTCGTTACCATTTTTATCAAAACAAAATGACAAAAGGATGCTTCACTGTTTTACGTTGGAACACTTCTCTTAAATATACTGACTTACCATCGTGTTTTATTAGCTTTTCTGGTATAAGAAAAATGTGTTAAGCGAGCAAGTGAATAACCTATGTAATTGCATATATAATAGACATATGAGGCAGAATTTAGTTGGCTCAATTGGAGTTATATCCACTGATCAGAATGCTGACTGGGAACCCTTTATCAGTTCCATGGTGGAGATCTGATTAATGTTGAGTGCCCTTTGAACACAAGTGCTACCATTAAGCATTGAAGACCCAGGTGGCTGAATCCCCCGCCCCACCCCCGCTGCTGAGAGCCACTGGGCTCATTGCTGTCAATGCCACTGGGAGCAGTGGCAGCTTTTGGCACTAAACCCATTCGATGGCAAGGGTCCTTGAGGAACCTTAGGATGGTCAGGGCAAGGTCAAGAAAGTGACTTTCAACTTCTCACCCATCTCCTGCAAACATTCTGGATCCCTCAGTAAGACACTGAGTGCTTGATAACAAAGAGGCCTCTGCAAAATGGGAAAAGTTTGTTGAGCGGCTTTAGGAGGCATAAGAAAATCGTACAGATCTGTTTAATCCAAACCATCACTAAATTGATGTGGTGTCGGGAACAATCGGTGTCAACAGACCCATTAAAAGCTTAATTAACATTCTGCCAATGGCCAGGAATTTCACAGTAGCCCTTTCCAGTCCCTGCCTTTACTGGGGTGGTTTGACAGTACCAAATCCTGACAGGGCAATTCCTTCCATTGCTTTGTTCTTTAAAATTCACTCAATGACTACATTTCAGTGTTTTAAAATTACTTTACTTCTCCAGTTAAAAAGATTAAAAACAATACTGTAATACTCAATGATTTATTACAGTCGCATAAGTTGTAGATATGATGTTTCTTAAAACAGGTGACTGGAGTAATTTATTTTTTTCTTTAGAAGGTAATACCTGATGTACTAATACAAGGAGTCAAAATGTTATAGCTCAAATGCAGGAAATATCAAGGGATTATCAATTAAAATTGGCTTGACAAGTTTAGCCGCAACATTCAGAAGTGTTGATACAACAGTCATGATGATGCTTAAAGTACATCCTTCAATATTTATGTATTGCATAAACCTGCTCTTTTTTTCAGATTTAGTGGTATAATAAACTTTGTGAAATATCCACAAATATGTATGTTTTTATTTAGACAGTTTCATCTGAAATAGATCCTCATGCTTAATACTGTAAGTCCTATAACTTTCTAGCTCCCTGTACACAGGAGAGGGCCTTCTTATGTTGAGATGCTGCTGGGAATTTCTTTAAGGTCAATTGTGATAATGTGCAGAACAGATATTGAAGTGTGCAATTTGTAATATACATGTTGAAATTTGTATAAAGCTTCTGTAACTCATCAGAGCGAGCTTTACACTTCAGTGTTAAGGCTCCGTCTACATATGTATGAAATAAGTGATCACTGTCCTGTTTTTCCGAAGTCCTCTCAACAGTTTGTCAAGTTGATCCCAAATTTCTCCAATTTCGCATTCTGAGGTGACTTTGAATTGAACAAAGTATATATGGGATTGTGATAGTCAGCATCAATGATGTCAAGCAGCAGGATGAGTAGCCAATCACATGTTAGAATTCTCTCAAATGGCAAATCATGAAGTTATAAAGAATAAAATTTAACTTACTTTTTAATTATTATAAAGACAGCAAAATAATTGTGAAATTGGAGTGCAATACTTGAGTTAAGACCACCACTGAAATATCAAACTTTAACAATACAGGTTTATTTCAAACAACAAATTGAACGTTTTAATTATATGTTCTGTACAATTATACAGGAAATTACATTCAACATTATCCAGAGCCAGAGAAGTTAAATAATTATGATCAGTATTGATCTATACTGATTGCATCTGCATCTATGAAGACTGCGCCAGAACACGTCATAAAAGAATAGGGTATCACTGATAGCAACTTTCACTTTTCTGTGCTTAAATGTGCATGTTTTACAATATAAGTTGCTGTGAGTTTTACACCATAATGATGACATGAGTGCCAAAAAGTCAGCTGTCATTATAACTTCGAAGTCCAGGACAATGCATTCCTTACGCTGACCAGAATATTGTTGCCAATTTTAGATGCTCAGAATGCAACCCTTTGTCAGTAATGCTTCTGACTGCCCACATGGTACTGAATAAGTTTAAAAGTCTAGAAGGGAGATTGATTAATTATCTTCCCATTTTTTCTATTCAGAATTTGTTTAGGTATACAGGCTCCTTTCAGCATTTATGCAATTTTTTTTTATTCTCAGCACCTTCATGGACATCACTAATTTTTTCCCCCAATTAATAGCCACCTATATAAAGTGCTTGGAAGAAGAAGAGCAATTATATTCCTCAGGAGGTCAAGATTCATAGGTCTTCCGTGTATACTTGCTCACTTTTTCAAAACCGCATCTGCAAACAGGTAATAGCTTTCATTTGCAGATAATTATTTCCTACAGATGCTGAAAGCAGATACAATACAATAGTTGTGTATGAAGCCCTAAGATTTTTGTTGGATGATTCTGCATAAAAGATGGCATGTCAATGTGATCAACCACCTGCAAAGAGGATTAATCACATCTACCAGCAGTTGACTTTCCAGCAATTTTTTTGCACTGATCTGGCATTGACTGTGAAGAATTAGTCAGTAGTAAGTCAAATGAGGAGTTGTGCGATTCTCCATGGAACCAACAGAACTGATGCTAAGATAGCATGAGCCAGTTGCATTCAAGTTTGCCTACACCTCCCTCCAGTGTGTTACAATACAGACCTCTTGTGTCCCTTGTGAAGAGATGTCTTTTGGATTTTTAAGGCTATCAGAATTTCTGTCATCTAAACTCTAGAACAGTTGCCCTTCTATTTTGATCCACTCTTTCTGCATTTAACTTTCAATTCCCACAAAAGCCTTGGGTTGTATTCTCATTCAAACCTGCACCTAGGATTGTTAATATATATGCAGCAAAGCCAATCCAATAATTTCAACTGTTGGAACACAGGACTTAGGAACAGATCATCTTCAATCAATAAGATTGTGACTATCTGGTTGTGGCTTCAGCTACACTTTCCTGTCTGCACCTCATAACTCTGGAGTTTTTTCTCTACCAAAAATCTATCAAACTCAGTGTTGAATAAATTTTTTAAAAAGTCTTTACTACCTCCTGGAGAAGAGAATTACACCCTGACAACACTTTGGAAAAAAATTCTCCTTGGCTATAAAAGGGAAACTTAAACTGTGTCCCCTTGTTTCTTTCTCCTTCCCAAGAATAGGAGAAACATCCTCCTGGTTTCAACTCATCAAATTTCCTTTGGATCTTATTTGTTTCAATAAGATCACCAATCACCCCTTATATTTCTATCAATATAGGTCCAACTTGTTCAACCATTTTTCATAAGCCATTCATCTCAGGAATTAGTTAAGTGAAACTTCTCTGAACTGCTTCTAAAACAATATCTTTTTTTCAAATAAGGACGACAAAACTGTACACTGTACTCCACGTGAGATCTCACCAAATGCCTGGTAGAGTAAAACTTCTTGACTTTTATATTCCATTCTCATAGCAATACCAACACACCATCAGCCTTCCTAATCATTTGCCTGTTTATTGACTTTATGATTCATTTACTAGAACATGCAGATTCCTCTGTTACACTGACTCCTGCAATGTCCCTCCATTAAATAATACATACTGCTTTTCGATTCTTCTTCTAAAATGGATGTCTAATATTATATTTATATTCCCTTGCAGACCCTCTAGCTCCTCTTGACAATTTATTCTTGTATTGCTTCATGTCATTGGTAAATTTAATGACCATCCATTTTGTTCCTAC